AAAAAAAAAAAAAAAAAAAATGAACCCTCAAATTTCCTCTTACTACCCCGGCGGGAAAAAAACAGTACTTTTCTACCCAATGGTCAAATTCGGATATGCACGTGACGTGCACATGCTAGCTCAATTGCAGGCGTCTCCTATGTCAACGGATACCTTATATTTAACGGCTAGTTTGTTCTCAATTGAACGCCTTTCACTACTCAAGAGAAAGTAGCTTTTCTTTTGCTTCTTTCCCCAATATTAATACCACTTTCTTGGTGATCAAAGTAGATAGTTTCCAGTAGAAAAAGAATCGATCGTTATTCCATCTGATTTACCAAAAGAAAGTGTTTCAAAGTTCATCTTCAACAATTCACAGTCCATTGTGAATTTCATCCATAGTTTGCGTTTTCTTGCAAATTTAATTAAGGGATTTTGTGGGTTTATTGTTGGAATGTGGAGGAATAACGAGAGTGATCATATGTCTCAGGCGACAAGGGGTTTCTTGACCCCACCGCCGAAATGGAGATCGCCGGCGTCGGAAAAGAATCAAAGGAGGCTAACTCATGCACAGAGTGCTAAACCTGATCTTTTTCATGTTATTCATAAAGTTCCTGCTGGTGATTCTCCTTACGTCAGAGCCAAACATGTTCAAGTTAGTGCATTTTTTGTTATCTACTTTCATTTTATGCTGCATTGGCTTTCAATTCTGTTCTCTTCTTTTCTTGTATTTCTTTTACTTATTTGCACTGATAATTTCTTGTTGTGAGTCTTAAATATCTTTATTTTCCCCATCTTTAGGAATTGGGCCTTATTTTAGTAATCTGTTGATATAATCATATTGTTAATGGTTGTAAAATCAAATTATAATATTATTAGATCATATCAATGAAGAATTTATGGGTAATTTATCTAACTTATATATGTATTATGTATAGGCCGATTTTTTTTTTTTAACAAAGCCAGGTGAAGTTTCAATTTTATCTTTTTTCTTGATATATCCTCTTCATTTCACGTAATACCCTTGTGGGGTTTATAGAAAATTTGTTTTTTTTTTTTTTGTATTTATTTCCCTGGAAAGCCTTCAATCAGATTAGGTGCTTCACTAGACAGATTTCTCACTTCGGACGAGTTACACAATCTTGGTGAAGAAATGTGTTCATTATTTTCTCGACTAAGTTGTTAACTAATTTGTAATCAAATGGCAGTTAGGTGCTTCACTAGACAGATTTCTCACTTCGGACGAGTTACACAATCTTGGTGAGGAAATGTGTTCATTATTTTCTCGACTAAGTTGTTAACTAATTTGTAATCAAATGGCAGTTAATTGACAAGGATCCGAGCAAGGCAATATCTCTGTTTTGGGCAGCAATAAATTCTGGTGACCGAGTTGATAGTGCCCTGAAAGACATGGCAGTTGTGATGAAACAGTTGAATCGTTCAGACGAGGCAATCGAAGCAATAAAGTCATTTCGACATCTTTGTCCCTCTGAGTCACAAGAGTCTATTGACAACATCTTGATTGAACTCTACAAGGTAGCTTATCATCTTAAAAATCTGATATATACCCCTATCTTATACTATTTGATTTTGCTTTAAGACTGAAGGAAAATAATAGTTCTGTATTGATCTTTGCATTGTTTATAACCTACACTAGTTCCTAGTTCATATTAGCTAATATAGTAGAATGTGCTTTAAGACTGTAGGGAAATTAATAGTTCTATATTGAAGTTTACATTGTTTTTAACTTGAAAGTTGCTTGGTGACATGTATATCTTGGTTGTCTTATGCCTACACCATTTCCTAGATCATATTAGCTGATATAGTTGTGACTGTTATTGTAAAGAATATTACTAGTAGTTATCTGTCCTCCTGTTGAAGGCTTAATTCCATCTAGTTTCGACTAACACATGTTTTCCTAGTTTATACAAACACAAATTAGATGCTGCTCTAATGATTGTGTGAATCCTGGAGTACTCTTGATTCTTTATCTCTGTGACCATTTTGCTTTTATTTGTTTTTCTGCAGAGATCTGGTAGGATCGAAGAAGAGATTGGATTACTTGAATTGAAATTGAAGAGCGTCGAAGAAGGCATAGCTTTTGGTGGGAAGAAGACTAAGATTGCTAGATCTCAAGGAAAAAAAGTTCACATCACAATTGAAAAGGAGTACTCAAGGTTGTACCTGCAATTACATATCTTCAACTTCAGCATTATTTCTTGCCTGTCTAACATAGATTCCGTTTTGGAATTTTCGTCATAAGTGCAGATTGTTAGGGAACTTGGCATGGTCACACATGCAACTGAATAACTTTAAATTGGCAGAAGAGTACTATAGGTAATATTCACCAACTAAACACACAAAATTGAGCATCAGAGATGTGCCTTTATTTGTAGAAAATTGGCTTTATATGGAAATTTCTTTAATGCAGAAAAGCGCTCTCTCTCGAACCGGATAAGAACAAGCAAAGTAATCTGGCAATTTGTTTGATGCATATGAACAAGATTACAGAAGCTAAGTTTCTGATTCAAAGCATAAAAGCTTCAGATAGAAGGCAGATGGATGACTCATGCATCAAGTCCTTCGAGCGTGCCACTCAAATGCTAGCTGAGTTAGAATCACATGGCACTTGGAACTCTAAGGAACACGAGGAAATGCTAGGATCGTCCACATCAGATGGACATAATCGCAGGGGAAACAAGAGGACATATCCATCTCCATTTTCTGCTTCCGGACATCCAAAGGACTTTTTTACACAACCTAGGAGATTTTCATGTTCACTCAATGACGGCAGTTGGTTCAAGAAGGATACCATTAATGCTTGTATTCGAAGACTGTTATTTGAGCAAACAACAAATAATGAGAATGTGCAGTCAGTGGAGAACCATAATTTCAACAATCTCATTTCTGCTGATGAGATGAGCAAAGGAGCGTCCCTTGTATGTGGACAAGCGTTCTCTAGGTCATGGAGAAATGGTGCTAACATGAAAAGTGAATCTGATTTGCTGCCACTTTGCGACGACTGGAAAAAGAACTTTCCAGAAAATGATGGATCAGACAAAATTTCTCCAAAGTTGTCTTATCCTCCCACAGAATCATTGGCCGATAATTTAAGTGCAAGAAAAGTTTCAACAGATACCAATGAACACTTGGAGAGCACAAACTTGAAACCTTTAGACTTGGCCACATGTAAAAGCAAGAAGAGTTGGGCTGATATGGTGGAAGAGGACGAACTAGATTTGCAGTTGTATGAAACTCCAAGCAGATATTCCGATAACAATGAGAATGTTGATTCCAATATTATTGATCTTAGCCAAAACATTGAATCGTTGTGTCTGAGTGAAGGATATCATACACAACCTGGACGAGAAGTGAGGCGTTCCTTGTGCTTTGAACAGAATGTCAGAAAAGAAAACTGTTCATCTAAATTCGAGGGGAAAGATCTGAAGTTGGGAAGCTTGAACTCTTTGCCACCTATAGGAGATATTGCTAATCACACTCCAGTGGAGTTATTGCGGAGGAACAGATTGCAAGTATTCAGAGATATAACTCCTGAAAGTCCTAAGCCTTGAATTATTATCATGTACAGAACTAAATAGCAAATACTGTAATGTTCTTTGATGCTGTAAGTCTGGCCTTATTCTTTGTCAGGTCTTATGATCGATTGACTGTTAGAGATATCATGAGAAACATGTGTTTTGGTAAGTGTATAAAATCTTCAAGTGATGATTACTTTTGTCCTTTCATTAGTATCACACGCAGGTTAATATCTTTGTATCAACTGCTTCTAGAGTCTAATTAAGCAACTCCTATCTGATGATTACTAAAATCTAATAAACATGATAATTTTGTTGATAATCCAAAGTTAAGTTTTTTCCTTCCAAGTGAGATTCTTGATTGGTCGTTTAGCACTCTCCTAAATTAAATGTCCTTTTTTTTTTTTAAATGATGCCATCTGCTAAGAGTGACTTAGTAAGTTGGATGGAGCTTCGAATCCCTGACATTGTCTAATTCTTTTTTGAAAGCCATATTCCTGAACATATATTTCTGCCGACCTGTGCTAGACTTATAAGAGCAAACTGGATTTTGAATTTTGAAAGCTAAAGGACAAGGAAAACTGCTTCTTGAAATTTTCATAAGATAGTCCTATTTAAGTAGATTCTTTTGTTCATTTTCTTATACTCTCCAGAATGGTCCTTCATCCCAGGCATATTTTTCTAATCAATAGCAGACAAGTAATTTCTTAGAATGCTCTGTTACCAATTAGTACTATTTACTTTGTTCAAGTTTCTTTACTTGCTTTGCTCAAAGTTCCCTGATAATCTAGTCTAGCTAAGCTCTGTGTTTTTCTCAAGCAGTAATTCTGAACTCTACTTGGTGCCTCTCGTTCCTCTTACTGCAACTATTTGTCTTTTATCATCAACGTACGATTTTGGAGTCAAATATTTGTGATCTTTAGAGTTCGCATTTCTTAGCTTTCAATTCTTCGCCCGACCATTAAACGAAATACGAATAATCCATCCTTGTCTCTTTGAGAAGAGTGTATTAGTAAAAAAATTAGACTCGTCATGTGGTCTATTAAATGGCGACAGGTGTCAACAAAGTTTGAAGAAAAGCGAAGAATGACATGTAAAGATGATATGTGAAACACTCCCGGGACCGACCATACTCGTACCGTGCATGTTAGCCTCGGAACTGATCATCATGAAATAACCCGGATCAGGTGCGGGAGAATATCTCATAATTACAAATGAGGAAGGAATCAATTAATCCCGTATTATATGGGATTTACCATCATTACACCATCAGTTACAAATCAATTATTAATAAATGCAATAAATGATTGTAACGGTTAGAACAAGGCAATCAACAGACACAGGATTGACTCATCAGTTACAGAATTAACTCATCAATTACGGAATTAACTCATCAGTTACGGAATTCCAGCATTTACACAGCTGTTACAAGTCTTCCAAAAGTAATGGATGGATTGAGTAAATGCTCATAATGGACCCATAATTCAAGGAGACTAGTTACTTAGATTTAGCCCTATAAATAGACATACTTTTACCACCATCAGAGAAATCTAATTTTCTTCTCTAGAATTCTATACATTGTAATTTATAGCATATTGCTCTCAAGTTAGCCATAGTTCGGCCCTTCAAGCTCTGTTCGGCTCATTATCCTATCAAGGATCATTCAATAAGAATTCTTTCTTCTCTGCTTTATTTTTATTATATTATCTGTCATTGAATTTATTTTCCACTTCTCTATCACGTTGTATTAACGAAATTTTATATCTTTCGGATTGAATCGGTTGCTTGTGGCCCGTCATATAAAATTATTGCTTTGACCTTGAAAACTATTTTTTGGGTTAAACAAATTGGTTCCGTTATCGGGAACTCAAGCAAATTTGCTATTCATCCAAAGATAGTAACAATTTTTGTTAATATTCGCTTGTTTTCAGTTTAAACCTTCATCATGGCCGAAATTTACCAATCAACACAGTTGAGGACAACCAAGTTGGAGATGGCTTTACCATGCAAAATAAAAAGGGAAGAATAGCCATGATAATGATATGTAAGCAATAAGCACAGAAAAATAGAGAATGTACATCGATATATTGGTACCGCAACTATCAGTACCAGAACTCATTATAACGGATATGTACGAGACAGTTCCGGAATAGAAGGTTCAGATACACCAGGTTCGAAAACCAAACCGAGGTGATTCTGGATCCGATTGAAGGAGTCAGAAGAATAACGCCGGACCTTCCCGGAACTAAGGAGTAAAATTTACATTCGATATAATACAAAACTTCGAATAGAGGACACGTTCATTCAATTGAAAGTCAAAAACAGGTCTAGAGATCAGGCGGATGTGATTCTTGGGTGATCCGAATCTAAACGCAAAAATCTAAAAATAGGTCCGGGCAAAAGAGATACGAGATTTTCTTCACGGGCTAGAAAAGATCCGGATCTACCCGAACAGGTAAGGAATTACCTTGCTAAATTGTAAAATTTCATAGGAGAAGAATGAAGATTAGGAGGAACATTGGTAAACACAACCACGAGATTGCTTACAAAGATACCACACCTAACAACTAAAAAAGAAGAGATAGATGCGGGATGGAATAGACGACGAGGAAGAAAGGTTCATTAATAACCTTGGACAATTATACAAATATTTTCGGAAGCAATCATTGAACCGAAGGCATCAGAAGCCACGGGGTCAAATGCCGAAGAGCTAGAAATTATCATTGACTTCCCAAATAGGAAAGTTTACATTGGTCGAGATTAGACACCGAATATAAAGGTAAGTTGATTAAACTTTTACATGTTAACAAAAATTGCTTTGCTTGCCTCCATGCTAACATAACAGGTGTACCACCGGAGGTAAGACTTATATGCTCAATATTGACCTGTGGTATAATCCGGTCAAGCAAAAGAAGAAACTAGAGTCAAATAATAAAAGATAAAGTTACAGAACTTCGAAAGATCGATTTAGTCCGAAAAGTCGAATCATTCGAACTTGCTATCTAACAACAACGCATCATTACTTTCAAAATTCCGAGGAGAAATATGATTGTCATTACACCAAATTATCTCGAATGTCTCGGTAAATGCAATTTTAATTCAAGAAGATAAAGGTACACATACTCCTATCTATTATAAAATGCTCTTAGATACGGAAACTACATATCTACATTTTGATAAGTTGGCATTAATTGTAGTTTCCCTAAATCTAAGGCTTTATTTCAATGTCATTCAATTCCCGTAGTCACTATATTTTCATTACGCAATATTTTGCATAAACATGAACTGTCAGGAAGGCTAGCTAATGAGTAGTCGAACTAAGTGAATATTATATTGTTTATCAGCCACGTACGACTATAAAATCACAAATTTAGTAGATTTCATGATTAATCTTAGCTCGAACATATTACCCGAATATGTTATTTCTGGGATAATTCTCGGGATCCGGACCTTCTACACAATTAGGTCCACAAGTACTAAACTTCCCGAGTTAGGGACAATGCTTAATGTCTATCAGGGAAAGTAGTTTGATAATTCATAAAAGTTATTTTATTACTAACAACAAAACCGAGTATGAAGCATATGCTACAGGGCTTAAATTAGATTGGGGACTCAGAGCAAAAATATTGATTTAACGATTGATCAAATCTAAGAAAACTATGCAGCCCAAGAAAATCGAACCGAATGTGCTAGTCTCGGATCTACTGTTGATATCACTAACTCCGAAAGCAACCCCGGGCTCTTATTGAGAAATATCATTTCCGGATCAAACAGTCTCGGGATCGAGCCATCCCTTATTTAGGCAATCCCTGATCGATCATCAATTAGAATGAAAATGAGGTAAGCCTGACGAATTTAATTTGGAATTGGCATAATATTCATTTATTACCTGTAGAATGAGACTTTACTCAAAGACAAGTATGCTCTCGATAACTCTGAGTACGTCTCATCCTCTACTACCTTGTTGAAGGAGAATTATATTTGGGAATATTCAAGGCTCCAAAAGCTAAAATACCATATGGGCCAAACAAACAAAATATATGATGCGAGAAATTTATAAAGAAAGCAGTGAAAATTACTCCTGTTTCGGCAACATTTTGGAACCTCCGTAGTTCCCGTCCAGAGTAACAAATATTTGATAAAAAGAGCTCTGGTACCATCCCTCTGTTGGAACTAGACAATTTGAAAGTCCATCAATATCGAAACTAACTATCCTACTAGGGACTATTAAACTGCAGACTGTCAAATTATGATTCCAGTGTTTGAGTTCTCATACCTCAAAATTCAAACACTAGGGAGATTACTTATACTTGAAGATTATTCAATTTGACCAGACATTATAAGAAGTGATATAAGCAATTGATTGCCTTGGGAGATAGAATTCCTAAGAGTATTCCGACATTAATTACCATCTCAACTCAATTAGTTGTCTTGCTCATATCAAACATAAACACTTCAAACAGTGTTGAATGAGTTCTTCAAAAATACATATTCTATACAAAAAGGATGGAGAACTCCATGTCATAGTCAAGAATCCCACGATAAAAAATGAGAGTTTTACAACTAAGTCAAGATAAAGTTATGCAAATATGCCACCAGAATAAAGTTCACTTTGAACAAACACGTGACTTACATTCGGTCCAACAACGACCATCCAAGTTAAATATATAGGCCTTTCTTAATGGCTAATTGTATTATGACTCAGATCGATTATCCCGTATATATAAATGAAAATCTCAAATATTATTTCGGACATGTGTCCCTCTTTACTTGGAAGTATGTTCATATACTCCAATTTGGGTTCAAAATCCAATTAGATAAATGTCTCTTCACGACAAATCTACTAAGATATATATTTATTTGGGATCAATATTCCCTCAAACTCAATGTCTTACCGGGATCAATACTCCCGTAAATCTTAATGGGGTCAATACTCTTGTAAATCCTACCGGGATTAATACTCCCTCAGACTAAAAGTCTACTTGGATCAATCTATCCTATTTTACGCCTGAATGAAAAAGGAGACGTCTTATTCATAGCGTTTAAAGTATATAAAAGGGCCCTCTTTTATATAAAAGTTAGACACCCAAAGGTGCAACATTAAGACATCGCACATGTAACGATGCATCCAAATATATATTTTAAGTCTAAAAGACTAAGTATGAGCACTCAAATAATTTTCTAAAGTGCCAAGAAAAACTTGTATTCGGATAAATTCCCTAAAATGCCAA